AGATACTAAAAATAGTGGACACTTGCATATGGCTCTTACATGTGCTGGGCACTGTTCCAAAAGCCGGGGACACAGCAAGGAACCCAACAAAAGCCCCTGCCATCACATGGAACTGAAATCCAAGGTGGGGGAGACGGATGGAAAAGTAGAGAAGCAAATATATATGTATGTCTGGTGGTGATGGCGACATTACAGAATAAAGCAGGATATATGGATTGGGTTTGGAGGGTACGGTTTGCGGGAGGACGTTCAGGGAAGGTCGATGACATTGAGCAGAGTTGAAATGATGAAGGGTCTATGTGGCTATCCAGAGAAGTGTGTGAGGCACAGGGAACAGCGAGTGCAAAGACCCTATGCATGTTCAAGGAACAACAAGGAGGCTGAGAAGTGGTGGACATGAGGATTGAATGACAGCCTGTAAGGTGATGGGGATATTGAATAACATTACATTTGATAGACGAAGCAAACCACAAACATCCCTTAGACTAGAGTTTGGCTCATGATAAGGAACATCGAATTGCGGCTCCTACGATAGGACCCGGAGCCCACTTGATGCCCCCCCTGCCCCTTGCAAACATCGGGCCTCACCACTGTTTATTGGGTGAATTAACTGGAGGGACAGGTCAGAAATCCTCAGCACTCGGGGCTTCTGCTGGGCTTTGAGCCCCATGAGGGCAGGCCTGGGCTGTCTTGTTCCCTGCTGTGTAAACAGACACCCCCCCCCCACCCCAGCTCAGGGCAACGTGCAGGGGAGGGGCTCAGGAAGTCTGTGGAGTGACTGCATATCAGTTTCTCTACTAGTGTGTTAATGCAGGCCCTGTCAAGGTCCACACTTCTGGACGTGCGCATGTCTGTGCAAGTCAGGAGTGTACAAACGTGCTGAGCAAACATTCCCGGGGGACAGAGCAGTGACCAAGACAGCCCCGGCTCGTTCCAGTGGAGAATAACCTGTCTCCAGACAGTGTTGACCCACAGCGAACAGGGCTGGGTTGTGAGAACCCAGGGAGCTGGGCCGGGGGGGGGGGTCAGGGAGGGCTTCCTGGAGGAAGAGGCATTGGAACCACAATATGGAGGATGCATAGGATAAGGTAAAGTTGTGTGCCTTGGGGCATGTCCCAGGTAAGGGGAGAGCAGGGTCTAGAGCCAGAAGGTAAGAGATCATGGCAAGTTAAAGCAAGGGAGATGCATCAGGCTGTAAGGGTTAAATCCCATCCCCTCAAGGTCTCGTGCATTAGGGACCTGGCCTCTTCTCCCAAAGGTACTGGCAACCATGGTAGGTTCCGAGCAGAGGACCCATAGGGTCAGGTTTGTGCTTTAGAAAACCCTCTGGCTGCTGAGCAAATGGGAGGGGCAGGACTGGGACAGAAGAGGGAACAGCCTGGACCAGGTGGTCTCAGACGAAGTGAAGAGGTGAGGCTCCCGAGTGATGGGGGTGCGGGTTATAGCTGAGGGGCCTCGCCAAAGTCTTGGGCGTGTTCCTGTAGGAGGCCAGTGAGTCCAGGTGGCCTGAGAGCTTCCTTGGTTCCCAGAGTCATGGGACAGAAGCCCTGCAGGGGGGCCCGGGCTTTCTCCCGGGGCACTGGCAACTGTGAAATGAGGCGGGGTGGGGGGGG